TAGCTGGACTTTGGGAACGTTATCGATGGATCCTCCTTGGGTCTTTTATCGGGCTCTTGATCTTGTTTGTTATTTATGTCCTCGCTCGCAAAAGAGATCCTTATGTATCTAGCTTTTTTTTTTTTTGTTACATGAGCATGTGTTTTCTTTGTTTGTACCATCGTTTAATTGAACCTCTTTAATTTCTATAGGCACAGAATCTTTCGATATTTTTGCTCGTGTTCATCTTATTAGATTTTGCGATGGATGTTTCATTTATCGCCCTGCACGGAAATGATTTAACGTGGACGTATTCTGTCAGGTAATTATTTGATTCCATCCTCCATCAATAATCAAGTCACGTATTGCATCCTAAATTCTACATTTCACCGATGTAGCCTTGTTCTCCTGATAACCCCAATTGTCTTGAATGTAATAACCACCTTCTTCATAATTTCCGATGAACAAGCCATTAATGACAAGTACTTTAAGTGGTGGCTAAAATATCCAAATTCCAGTCTCATCTTTATCATGTTTAGTTTGATCGACTTGGATTTTTTGAACATCATGTCCTCGAGATTTGCTGGAATTCAAAATTTCAATGCACCATTTAGTCATAAGGCCCGAAGAATTGTGTTCATTATGAATATCGTAAACTTGATTATTGAGGATTTTGGACAGGCCATTGTCTTAGTAAGATATTAAGGAAACGTTGCCTTATCGTTTATGCGAAAGTTACAATAATGTGTAAATTTTATTTTATTTTATTTTATTTTTACTTTTTTAGATTCTGTACCAAGTGTACACAGTTTTACCACACATAATTCCAATATTAGTGTTATCATCATGCCTTTTTGTAATCTTTATAAAGATCGTAACCTCATCCTCCTTTGTGGTAGCCTTCTGCCAACCCAGAATATTTGGGGTAACCGATGATTTGCTGAAAGAACCAAAGAGACCATGGTACAAAAAACCTTCATCAGAATCGGATTTCCAGGCGGGCGGAGAGTACAAAGGTATCGCTTCTGGTTACAATGATCCCGATAATAACGGTATTAAAAATGTACCAGAAATCACGGAAAATTATAATGTGGACGCTAGTGGAGGTCGGATTTTCTCACTAAAAAAGGTGGATGCAAAGGTACACAATATACCGCACGGTAAAAGAGTTGAAGATGCGATAATTAATGTAGAAGATGATTATGCGTCAGGTGGAATAGGTAGTACGTCCGGTGGATCAGAGTTAATTTACGGTCCAGGAAAACTTTATGGAAGTGCGACTAGCCTTCCAAAAAGGTCAAGCGATTTCGGAATCATCGGGTACGCCGGAAAAGTTATGGAAGGAGAAGCTGCCATAATAGAAGGTGACGCATCCGGTCTAGGTGCCGAACATTCGGCTGTTATAGAAAGCACAGCTGAACCCGAGACAACGCAGGCCCAACAAACCTTAGTGGAAGAAACTCCCCTTGAAACGACTACCGGCGAAAATATTGACGATCAAATTGCAGAGGAAGAAGCAGAACCAAGAGAAGACAGAAGTAGGGGACCACGATTGGCCAGAATCGGAAGCGTAGAAACATATCAAACGTCGGCGGGCAGAACTGCTACGAACACAAGCAGATCCAACACCATAATCTCGCAGACCACTTTAGAAAGCGAAGAGTCCACGAATGTTGGAAGAAGGACTAGTTCAGGTGACTATGGTGGTAGGATAAAGAGAGAGGTTAGTAGTGAGATGATGAGTGACATCACGAAGAATGAGGGAGAAAACAGATTTTGAGTTGGGATGTTAGAATTAGGAATTATTGGTATAATTACTAGAAGGACTATATATAGTTAAAAAGTAACGACCCGTTTGTACCTCCATAGCTGACCATTGCCTATTACGTAAAATAGATTAACAGAATTTTTTTAATTTATTGTTTTGTACAAAGGATTTGGGAGAATAGTAATGTTCGGGTAATGAAGTACTCTGCATGTTTTATTTGCTGCTACCTTTTCATCTCTTGTATTTTAGTAATAATCGCTTCCTTGTAGTTCCATTCCTTTTACTTTTTGAAAAGTGAATTAATGATTAATTTCGTTCGAGATACTTGAGAAGCGCGTATTTTAGCTTCCCAAGAAATTACGAAATCAACAATTTTATGCCAAATGTTATAAAATTTGTGTAGCGTGAAATAAGTCGAGTGAAGAAGCCGTAAAAATCTCTGCATTCATTAGAGAATTATCGTATTTATTTTAAATCGCAATGAAAATCCGAAATGCTTGATCAAAACAAGTCGAGGTCAACGGCTAAAAATCGCCTATCCCACGGCGATAACAGCGAACAATAAACTTCGTACCAACTCCTATTAATCTCTTCCTGCGGTTTCTCCAGAACCAAAGACGAGAACAATAATTATTTAAGGATCCCCCGAAATTACAGACTGTGACAGTATTTTAAAACAGTTTCCAAATGTACATTATCCGGTATATTAAAAGAAACCATCGTTTTATTTTAATGTAGATATTGTTGAAACCATATACAGTCAAACCTGGATATAACGAAGCCTTCGGGCTAATTAGTAAAAATTGAAAAAAATTGTTTAAAAATTCATTATAAAGAATTTTTAAAAATTTATATAATAAAATTCCCTTTTTATAATAAATTTTGAATAAATTCAAAATTCAAAAATTCGTTATAACCAGCATTTTATTATAGCTTCATTATAAACAGGTTTGTTATATCCAGGTTTGACTGTATTTTGAAATTCAAATAAGTTTGTTGATTTGAGTTTGCATCAAAAAACTCTCTTTGCAACTATTGACCCATTTAAAACAAATAATGAATACAAGGATTTTGGATGTACCACATTTGAAAAATCCCAAATCTTGAAAAGAAAAAAAATTGGGAGAGGGGTTTCTAATTGTACTTTATATACAGTGCATTATATCTTTTCAATTATTATTGAATTTAATAAATAAAAATAAACCACTTTTATCTATTTTATTAATTAGAATATTATACTGGATTAAAACTTGGAAATGGAAACCATTGTACCTAACAAGAGGATATTTATAAATATTGGTTTATATATATAGAATCTACAATAAGAACCTCTGGACATCTTGCAACACATTTGGCTGCTTCAACATGAGAAAAAAACAGATGAGTCAAGTATTCTTTTGTTGTTTTTTAAAGGTACACTCACTCCCCTAGCATAAATCACCGGACGTCGATCAAATTAAAAAAGCGATTTACGAATAAAACGATTTTTTTTTTATTTATTTTTCAAAAATTTACATATAAAAAAAAAAAAAAAAAAAAAATCTATAGAATTCTAGATATTTGAATAATCTATGTATATATTTAATATCTAGTAGGATAACCTCTAGAATTTTTAACAGCTTTAGTACACCAGGCATACTTTTTACCAAATTTTCATAAATTGATTTGTCTATCTTAAACCATTCTTCTTATAAGAAATTAAACAATTCTGTCTCATTGGTTGGTAATGGATTATGCCTATGAATTCTATGTTTTAATTCATTCCAGAGGTATTCAATTGGATTAAGATTTGGGCTCTGGGCAGGCCATGAAAGATAATCAATATTTTTTTCTTCTATTTATTCTTTTACTATATGTACATGGTGTGTAGGACAATTATTATCTTGAAATATATAGTTAAATCTATTTTCTAAATATGGCAGTAAATTATTTTTAAGAATCTCTATATATTCTTTTGCAGTTTGTCAACCATTAACTAATACCAATGGTTCTAAATCATTCATTAAAAAATATCCCTAAATCATGATACTTTTTCTATTAGATTTAAATGTTGATATAAAACAATCTACATCATATTTCTCCTTAAGTAATCATAAAACATAGTCATGACCATTACCTTCATATATCTCAAATCAAGATTCATTATTTCAAATAATCATATCCCATTCAGAAATCTAATCTAATCATTCAATTGTCCAATTATATTGAATTTTTTTGTTTTTTTTACTAATAAATAGTTTTCTTTTTCCAACTCTAGCATAATAGCCTTCTTTATGAAGATATCATTATAAGGTATATGTGGAAACTTCAGTTGATATTGATTGTACAAATTTCTTTTGTATAGTATTTAATATTGCTTTATGATTTTTTTTAATAATCCTTACTAAATGTTATATATTATAATTTGTTAATTTAAGGGATCTTCTATTTCAGATAGAAGGCTTGATATTTCCAGTTTTTTTAAAGTAATTGATTACATCATAAACTGTTAATCTTGTGATATTGAGTGTTTTTGCAATGATTGAAGGTAAGGAACCAGATTTCTAAGCATTTACTATCAGACTATATTTATCTTTAGATAATTTTTTATGTTTTTGAATCATTACAAGAAAAATATTAAAAAAAAAAAAAAATTCACACTAAATTCCTAACTTATAAATATGTAAATAACTTAAACCTTATTTAATTTTCTATTTAAATAACTATGAAAAAAATTTAAAAAAAATTTTTTTTGTTCATTAATTTTTTTCAAATATGATCGACATCTAATGATTTATACTAAAGGAGTATACAATAATATAATTACACTCTTTAAGAAGTTTCAAAAGTTTTTGAATAGAGTTATTATTAGAACCCTCATTCAAGGCAAGTCTAATATGGACACATTTATTTATAACATCTTTTGAATAAATAATTTCACCATTATCAATTTTGTTAGTAGCTACTGTGATAACTCGAGTAGATATATTACTATAATACAATTGTCATATAAGGTTTTTTTGACTTATACTTATGGCATGGTATTGAAGATATATTACAATTTCATTATCTTTAAGCATAAGATGATTATGCTTTAGCACAACTTTTGTAATAACCTATTTTGGTTTATTACTTGAATTTAATATTGAATAATATTTTATAATAATCCTAATATATATAGAATATCTATTATATTTAATATTTTTTTTTTCTGGTTTCTTCAGTTATATTCCAATTATTATACTATTCTCTATTTTTAATATACTGCAAAACAATAAAAAGTGATTTGGTTTTGTGTTCAACAAGGTTATTGTTTTTTCTTGAAAAAGCAAATCCATAAGCTTTAGTAACTGATTTAGTAGTATTTTCAAAGACCTCTAAAGACTTAAATATTTCATTCAATTTAGGTATAATTGGTTTTATAATTGATACGATAATTCATCAAGAATATATTTCAAAATAAGTAAGTGTTCTTTATTAATGACAAAATTTTCAAGTGAATGATTACTACTAATTGTTTTTTTTCTTTTACAATATATATATTTTTTATGATATATTTATTGCATCATATATATACAAGTTGTATAGATTTTTACTTATTTTTTCTTTTTACTAATCAGAATATCAAAAAGATATATATTATTAATTACTATGTGAAATCTGATAAGTAAAATAAATTAATAATAAAATTTCAATAATAAATGTAGTTCTTTATTATTAATAAATAAAAGCCATAGTAATATACATACTTTAAAATAATTTGGTATATATGTACTGTATATTCATTTGTATTATTTATATAGGATATCATATGATTACTAATATGTGAAAAATCACATGACCTATATATATTGTAAAGATTAATTTTGACCTTCTGGAAATACTACACTTTGACATAGTACAATGTTATAGATTCTTAATTAATATATTTATAGTACAAACCTGTATAATTAGACTAGTGTCAATCCTTCCCCTTATTTAGTATAAAATATGGTATATGGATAATTTTTTTGAAGGCGACAAAAACAATTGTATGATTTTTTTGGGATAAAGGATTAGAATTCATAATTTTAAGTACTAATTATATTATGCATATTTAGTATATACATATAATAAATAATTAGTATTATTAATTTAATTATTTACTATTATATTAATCAAGTTTGTATATAATATCGTATAATTAATGTCATGTGATTGTTGATTATATCATTTAGTGAATTTCGAATGAAACTATTATTTATATTACTTTATTACCTTCAAATTTTATTATCTTTAAATTTCAAATATTTTTATTATATATTTTTTTGTTTTTTTTACAAAATATGCCTTCTTTAAACTTAAAAAAAACATTTCTAAACTACTTCATTTCCACCCTTACTTTTTACTCTTGAATTTCTTATTCTCCTTCTCAAAAAAGTTTTGCTACTTTAATTTTACATAATGTGGCTTCTCATTTATCAGGAAATAATCCAATCCAATTATATAATTATTTCTTTAATCAATCTAATATTGGAAAAACATTTTTTCCAGATTCAAAACATGCAAAAAAAACCAAACAAATTTTTAACAATCTTAAAATTATACAGTATATACAAATTCTTTTACAAAATATAAATTCAGTCTTTTATCTTTAATAGCTAGTTTATATAGTAGATCAGAATTAACAAATCTTGATTTTCACTTTAGTAATACACAATTCAATATCTCTTTAAAAAAAGCAAATGATTGATCTTTTTTTTTATCAAATTATTAAAGACACATTCCTTCTTTTAAATCTGCTATTACCAAACAAATCATTAAACTTATTTTTAATTCCCTATTACAAAATTTTCGATTATCTACTATTACATATCAATTTTCAAAACTTCTATTTTTTCTTGAAAATATTTCTATCAATTTTAATTTCACTTCCATTTATTACTTAAAAAAAATAAAAAAAAAACATTTATTCTGAATTAAAAACATAAAATCCTTCTTTAAAATTATCTCTTGGAACATTTTATAAATATTGTCCTTCAAACTTCAAAAAA